TCCAAGCCTTTGGTTTTGACTTTTGACGAAGGATTTTTATAGAATCCCTGTAAATAAACCAGTCTGGAAATGAAGGGGCAAGGGCCTGACCAAAATCAGCAGTTGGCAGTTGAGGAAATTTGAGAGGAAACTTGTTGAAAGTCATTGTGTATCGTTCCCTAGGTGGAACATACGAAGGGAGTTGTAAACTCTCCATTTTCTTTAGAAACGTTTCCTTTAATGTAACAGCTGCCTCGCAGACGGTTCGACTAAGATCATCTGGTCGATAAACAATTTCGAAGTATTTTTGGAATTCTTGGATTTCTTTGATGTGTGTCGAAATAACTTTCTTGGTATTCTCTTGCACAGAGAGGAAAGCTTGGTTAATAAGTTGAGTAAAAGAAGGAGCATCGAAGAAATATTCTGCATAATATGTTGACCACCAGCTGTTGAATTCTAGGGTGCAAAGGAAACACGATTCGAAACTTATAGGGATGAGTTGAGCCTTATTAGTGTAGCGGGCAAGCTGCGTCGAAGTCATCTCTTCAGTATACTTCACATGATGAAGCAGAAGGACGCCTTTCTTTTTGAAGAGACACTTGAGACTTTGACAGATTCAGTCGAAGGGTTAGCAACCTTGGAATCAGGAAAGCCTCCCAGATCTATAAAGACTCTGCGTCTTAAGCCTTGGTTGGGGCTGGAAAAGGTCTTGTAAACCACTCAGGATCATACTTCCTTGCAGCAAATGGAGTCATGTTCGATGTGAACTCATGACGTTTGGCAAACATTATGACATAACTCAAGAATTTTTGGCCTGGGGGATTGTCTTTCTTTGCTGGGAGTGAGTTGTACCAAGTGAATCTTTTCGACTCTTCTATTCTTGATGTTTTCAGCAATTTCATTTATTAGATTTTTATTGGCGATACTAGCTTCGAATGAGGCATTTAGCCAAAGTTGTAACAGCCAAAAGGGACCAGACAGCAAAAGGTTCCCTTTTTCTCCCAAATCTTTAAGTTAGGCCACTCCTTAACTTAGAGACTCATTGAGATTCCCTAAGATCATTTCGCTTAGATAGATATCATGGCCTTTGTGAAGTTGAGTAGCTAGAGTTAGATACCTTCTAGCTACTTGGAGGGACTTTGAGCAGAAAATGCAATGAGATAGCCATATAGTCAAAAAAAGCTATGTGTTCTCTATCGAAAACGTCATCAATTGTTTTGTCAAAGTAGTGGGTTATGAAGTGAGAATATGTGGCTTTAGCAGATGTAAAACTTATGAAGTCGTCAGATTCTAGGTTTGGGTCATAGGTGTTTCCAGTGGGTTTGAGCCCTGTGATAGCGGCAATGTCGAAGAGCGTGGGGGTCATCATCCCACAAGGGAGATGGATGGTGTGGTGGGTACTATCCCAGAAATACAAAAAGGAAACTAGCATGGTCGAACAATAATTAAGACTTATTTTCCACAACATAATCTGGTCGTAGATTCCCACGTTTTTCCAAGTTTGGGATTTAACTTTCTCTATTTTTGCTAGCTAGTTCATGTAATCATCAGATTGTTAGAAGGACAGGGTTGCTCTAAAAACTCTAAAGTTATTGTTCATATACCTTAAACCTATATTGTTCAATACTACCACATCAGAAGAAGTTTTCTCAACCCTAAGTTTGTTGGCCTGCCCTATGGGTTTTGACTTATGGTAAGATGGGAAAGAGTCCCTAGATTTATTGTAATCAAAACTAAGAGAAGGTAAAGGACCGCATAAGGTATGTCTTTTACCAGAAACAGTAACGGGAATAAGTACCTCAGATTCATATATCTTCTTTTTTTCTTCTTCAAGCGGTTCAGGGATTAACTGCTAGTTTCCCACCATCTTTGGCGTTGATAGTGTGTCAAAGGGAAGAAGCTGAGATATCTTCTTCAGGTTTTTAGATTCGTGGATTTTCTTGGAATCTTTAATGTTGGTGATTGAAGACACCATTGTTAAGGTTTGAAGAAAATCTGGGTATTTTTTAAGGTTTGGAAAGTGTAGAGGAAGGAAAATGCTTGAAGATTTTAGGGAAGTGTAAAAGTTAAAATGGCTAAGTTTTCAAATCAGCATTAAAAAGCTGATGGTTAGTATGACACATGTTCCACCAGGGCCGTTTGATGGAACGTGGGCAGTTAATGCCTAAGGCGCGATTTCTTAGGGTCTGAAAACTTGATGATGGCTAAAGATTGTGGTGTGCTTTAATGAGATGTTTCAGAAACCGCCATGATGATCATGATGTCACGGGTTTTTCGGAATATTAAGAGACATTAAAAGCATGCAAAATTCGTTCGAGGCGTCGAATAACATTACCAAAAAATGTCTTTTTCTTCAGTGATGTCGAAAATGACATTTTTGGGGGGCAATCTGTTGCTCTAAATTTCGACGCCTGAATTGGATGAAAAGAAAATAATAGAATTTCTTGGAAAATCAAAGGACTTCGACCAGAGCCATATTTTTGGAATGTGAGTCGAAGGTGTCCTTTTTCCAGGAAAAGCTATGTTACGGACTTAGAAATATTTCTTAACAGTTAGAAGATTCGATTCGACAGAGGTGCTACTGAAGGTATTACGACGGGAAGATTTGAATTCAAATGAAGGAGAAAAAGTTCGTTCTTATCCGTTTCTCAAAGAAGACACGTGGAGCGCTTCTAGGAATCGAAGACATGCAGAGTGCCACTTGTCTCGATTTAGTTTGTTAGCCGTTAATGGCATTTATTTTCGATTAGTATAAATAGCAAGTCTCAATGTTAGGATTTGTGTGTGTTCAATTGTGTACAAATTCTTCAGTATACTCTAAGTACTGCATGTAGAGAAACGAGTTTGTGAGAATGTACGTTGATGTAACATCATTTTTACATTTCAATGCAATTTAATAAATCTTTTTCATTAAGAATTTATCCTTCTTTGTGCAAGTTATTGTCTTCATATTTTACCAGTACTTCGGTTTTACTCCTTCATGTTCAATTTCGCTTACACTTGAAATAAGTTATTTTATCATGAACTTTGTCGAAGCGTTCATCATCTTTTTAAACTTTGTTTAAAATCAATTAGCACATGTTCTAGGATTTATGTGGTCGCCCTGCAAGTAAAACAATTCTTTTTCAATTTAGAAGACCAACGGTTGCTCACCAATTCTCACGGCGAACACAAGCGCTGAGGGCACAATAAAAACCCTCTCATTTGAGAGAATCAGGTATTCAATATTCATCCTAACACATACATACTCTGTACTAGCCCTATTTTCTCCTGATTCTCACTTTAGCATCGGAGTGCCTTGCAGGTACACCCCCTTCTCATCTCCCACACCTAGCATCACAGTCGTTGTCTCTAACTAACTTCAGGTTCTGATCAACGGGTAAGATCAATACTCATTTTATCATTGAAATCAACATAACTAACCATTATCTTAAAAAATATTAAAATCCGAAGAAAAAAAACACACTTATTGTGAGACGGAGAGAGTATTTTTCAAACGGTAAAGCTTGAACAATAAGATGTTAGTTTGAAATTTTTGAAACATATTAACCATTTTAAATCTTAAAAATCTATAAAATACTTTGAAATCATAAAAATTTGTATATTAAAACCCTTTGAAATTTCAAATAAAAAAATCTTGATCATAAAAAGTCAAAAACTTCGATATAATCTTATAATTTCTTTTTAAATTTTCAAAAGTTTTCACCAAAATAGTCTTTTGAAATCTCAATTCAATCTTTTAATTAGGGGTATTTTTGGTGTGATTTAGATCGGTTTTGAGACAAAATATCATGTGATTCAAAGATAAATTTATTTGTTGTTTTGTTATGTTTTAGATAATTAATTTAAAAACTCTGATCTAATTCGATTCAATTTCATACAATTTGATTTAAATCACTTTTTTGGATATCCAAATTACAAATTATATGATTTTATATATTATATAACTTATATTATATAAAAGATAATATTATAAAATAATAATGAACAGATAAAATAATATAAATAATTAGAATAAATCAAATTAATGAATAGCATTTAAAAAATAAACATTATCTAATAATACACTAATACAACATATTATATATATATATATATATATATATATATATATATATATATATATATATATATATATATATATATATATATATATATATATATATATATATATATATATATATATATATATATATATATATATATTAGATCAAAGAGTAAGTTTTTTTTAATTTATTCTAAATCACAATTTTTGCATTAATTTTAAAAAATCAATTTAAAATTCAATTTGAATCGAACTTAATAAAATATATTTAAACATATTTAATATATATATTTTTTTTATAATTTTTATTTAGATCAGTTTAAATTTTACAACCACACACTTACTTAATTTTTAGATAATACTAACTTATACCACAAATGCACAAATTAAAAACTAAATATAAAAATAATATTTTAAAAATTATGTATTTTTAAAAACTATGTACTGCTATTTAATTTTTTATTAATATTTTTATTAAAAAAATTTCGTAAATATGTTTTTTAATCCAGAACACAAGTTTGCATTATCTTTAGGTTTTTATACATTAAAATAAAGGTGACTAATGGGGGATAAAAATATCCTATATATAATGTGAATATCATATATAACGTGAAACCAAACATGTAAAAACAAAAATAAGTAACAGCAAATTTCATGTACTTGGTCGAATAATCGGAGAGATCCACTTTACTAAATGTCTAAATCCATGGTTAAGGTTTTTTTAAGTAACAGAAAATCGATGGTTTATTTAAAATAAAATAAAAACAATCGAAGACGTAATCGCATACGAGCGCGTGATTTTTGCGTGTAGTTTAAGCTGCGCTGTGTTCAACCCAACGTTGTTGTCTCTCGCTTTTTTCTCTCACCATCTCTGCAAATTGTGTTTTCTTATCCCTATAAAAACCAAACACCCTTAAACGCAATCTACATCGAATCCTTCTAATTTGACTTTTATCTCTTCATTTAAGTCATAACCATGTCTCAGGTGAACCTCAATCCTTACATTATTCACTGTTTCTCCTCGTGTTCTTGTTTTTTCGATTCAATTTCATGTTGTCTTTTGTTTTGTTATCTGATTCCTTGTTCTTTTTTGTTTGATTTGTGAAAAAAAAAAGCTTCTGAAATTGTTGGTTTTGGTTTATGAGATTTAATAATTTTAGAAAAACATGATTTTTTTTTAGGTTGGAAACCCTTAAACTAAATGAAGGATGTGATTAATTACTGCATTAGATATAAATCTACATAGGATTATTTAGGGATTAAGATGATTAATTATTTGTTTTTTTTATATATCAATTTTATGAAATTTTTGCATTTTGATTGCAGACTGTTGTTCTCAAAGTTGGTATGTCATGTGAAGGATGTGTTGGAGCAGTAAAGAGAGTTCTGGGAAAATTGGATGGTATATTTAATCCCTTGTTTTATATAATAGTGATTATATGTTCTTCTCTCCTGGATTGGGTATTATTATTTAGAATCTTAGATATGTTAGACTTTGAAGTGTTTTTCATGAACTTTGTTTTATAGCATTTGTGTGTGTCTTGTTCTTCTTATCTTTATTTAAATTTCAAGTGTCCACATATCTAATACCCCTTCCAGTCATTTTTGAAACTTGTTTGAATGTATCACAAAGCAAAGAGAAGGACCATTGAACATGTTACATCACACCTTCTCTAGTATCTCATCTTACCTTTACTAGTTTAATGCTGAGATCCTCTTGTTCAAGTTTCAAATCATGAATATCTTAATCTTCTACAATTACTACAACAATCCTAGTCTTATCCCACTGAGTCAGGTCGGTTATGTGGATCAAATTACACCATAGTACTCTATCAAAGATCATGTTTCTATCCAATTTGTAAATTTCGAAAACTTTTTTTAATAGTTTCTCTTATAGTTTTTTTAGGTCAATCTCGAGTCATTTGATTACTCTTCTTACAACATAATTCACGGGTCTAACCACCTAAGTTTATTTTCTACCTTCTTTCTACTATAGGTGCTACCCCAACATCCTCTCAATATTGTCATTTTTAATCTTATTTTATGTTGTCTTACCATACATCCAACGCAACATCATCTCTACTACATTTAATTTGTTTTCATGTTGGTTCTTTACCATCCAATATTTTGTTTCGTACAATATTGTTGGTCTCACATCTATCCCTTAAAATTTTCACTTCCACATAAATCACTTGAGACTCTTCTCCATTTCAATTCCCAACTTGAATTTGATGGTTTAAGTCTCTTTCTATTTAAACCGTGTAACTTGTACAATCTCCAACTTTCACCTCTAGATTAGAAACGCTTCTCCTTTTGCCAAACAAACCTTCCATATATTCGACTTACTTGTGCTTAGACGAATTAAAATGTTTACCAGTGGTTTTTGGGTCAATAGAATAACTCTGCTTCCGTTGTCTTACCCTAAATATGTGTTCTTTTGTCGGCTTGGTTCTATTTATTTATTCATTCTTTTATACAATATATTGATAGGAACCCGAATTGAGAAAGAAGGAATTGTATTATTGATTGAAAATATATGTATAACAGAAGAAAAACCCCTATAACTCCATGGTAAAAGCCCTCAGAGAAAAGAAAATTGTTACTAATACTCTATTTGGGTCATTTGTTGGCTTAAGGCCAAATTCAGTGTATAACAACATATACATGTAAATTTCAAGGCCAAATTGTTCTGGTTCCTTCAGTGCAAGAATATGATAGAAGTGAATAGCCGAGTCTAAATATATTGATTAAAATGAATGAAATAATGGTATATCAACTAAGGATTTCCTTGAAACATTATAGAATAACTAGTTCTTCTGTTTACAGGTGTGGAATCATATGACATTGATTTGAAGGAACAGAAAGTGGTAGTGAAAGGAAATGTTGAACCAGATACAGTTCTGAAGACAGTTTCCAAAACTGGGAAGCCGACTGCGTTTTGGGAAGGTGAAGCAACATCTGAGACTAAGTAAGCTGTTACTAAAATATTTGGCTCAGTTTCTATGTGAGATAAGTAGTTCTTCTGTAAATCAAATACTATTTGATGGGTTTGAATAGCTAGAAGAATATGTCCTTTGATGTATTCTTGGTGTGCTACAATAAGGCCTCAGAATGTTGGTTCTTTTCAAAGCTATGGTACTGTATTAATGTGCTTATATTGAAAATTTGACTTCCCTTGTTCAGTTGTCCTTGTTGCTTCTATTGTTGTTATTTCTGCATATCTAACTTATGTTCATAATCATATATAAAGCACCTACACTATTGAAATTATGAAAAAGCTCATTACATTCATTTGAAAGAGTTTGAATTTTAAAATGTATGAAAAAGCTAAAAAAACATGATTAGGAGAAGATAAATTTTGAAACCCATGAGGTTGATCAATATACACTTTCTTTTGAATGTAACGCGTTAAAGAATGGGCTCCTTACATTTATTTGAAAGAGTTTGAATTTTAAAATGTATGAAAAAGCTAAAAAAAAAAAAGTTGTCTTCTAATCTAATTATCAGAGGATATGTTTTATTAAAATCTATGTCTTTTTGTTGATTGTACCATTTTGCAATAAACCGTATTTTAATTATTAAAGCACTTTCATTTTCATCAAGTTTGTTGCGAAATATCCATTTGGTCCAATCTATAGGTCGGGAAACAAATTCTCAAACATTATTTATCTCACATTGATTTAACTCTTCTTGCATAACAAAAATCAATGTTCATTAACGAGAGCTTCATTGACATTTTTTTGACTTAATTTAAGAAACAAAAGTCATAAAGTTACATGCCCTAGGAAGGAAGGGTCGAGTGGTTACTCCACAGTAATGTCTCATATTATGTTCTAGATTGGATGTTCTCTTGTAGTTCTTCATTTCTTAGGTAAATCTTGATTTTCTTTATTTATTTCTTCGATTTGATCATTATTTTTATTATCAATTTGATCTTTGTCTTTAATTTGGTTTTGTCTTGATCTTAGCCTTCTCAGAGGTTTTTCTTTAGAATACCTTCATAGTCAAACACTCCTACTTATTTTCATTAAAAGTAATATGACCTGATTATTCTATAGTCAAGTTTTTTTTATTAAAATTTTTAAAACCTTTACTAGAAGAATATCCTAAGATATCACTTCAAATATATGCAATAAACGCCTCTTTTTTATGAGATAAAATTAGCGTTTGGATATAGCGAAAATAGTCATCAACTATAATATAGTCATAGCAATTTCCTCTAACTATAATATAGTCATAGCAATTTCCTCTAAAACTCTTGGTTCTGAATGAGGAAGAAAAATCATATGCAAGAGTTGTAAACATTTATTTGTAAAAAAAAAATGTTTTTCGATCTAAAGGAGGTCTTTACTTATGTATCCTTTTAGAATACATAATATAACCATTTCTTTTCAAATTGTAGGTTTGACAAATTGATTATTAATTCTTGAGAATTTTTAATGCACCTTATATATTATTTAGGCACTACGTAAAAATACTAAAATCTCTCTAAGTTCCAAAAATGAATCTCCGGACGCACTCAGTTCTGACTTAACGTTAAAATATTTCGGAGATGCATCTTTAAACTTATTTTGGAGATGCATCTCAGTAACCTATCAGAACCGTGCATGTTATGTTTTGTTTATATTTATTTAGATGAAGATTTATAAACGTTATGTATTATGTTATGTGACGAGATTTAAACCATACAATCGATATGCGAAAAATGACATATTGTTATCCAAGAGGAAATTCGACAAGGAAACCAGCTGGAATTTCTTTAAACATAGAGTAAAGTCAAGTTGTTTTTCGATTGAAAGACTTGCCATATGAGAGTAGGAGTCGATGAGTTTGGCTGAGGGCTTAGAAAAATTCCAAGAAGCGCAATAAAGTTGAAGTTCGACAGGTTGTCGGGATCTACTAGGAACGAGTTCAAAATTCAAACTAAAGAAACTACGTTTTGGGCTTATCCAAATTAGCAAGGACACATGTGTTTATTGTGATATTTGGTATAAAAAACAAGTTTGATTTTATTTAAGGGATTAAATTCGAAAAGATCACAGGACATATTGTGTGAAAATCATAAATTTGAAATATATTTGACATCAAATTCGAAATTGAAAGAAACTTAGAAAGACGACTAAATTTGTGTAATGGAACACATATACATACATTCTTATGACTCTTTTGTCACAAACGCACAGATACTTTGAGTTTACTGAATTTGTGTACAAATGCAGGCCCCTAAAAACATAAGTGAATGCTACTTATATTAGTCCTAACTTAACTGTCTACAACGATTGACTAAGGAAAATAAGTCACGTCTTTGTCTCCATGCAAATTTCATCTTCGACGGGCTTCCACGTGCCTTTAGATAACTGAATATCCTTATCCAATTACACTTCACTCGACTATGTGTAGAATAAATATTTTGGATATTCTCAATTTCACTAAGTCCCAAAACCCTTAAAATCCTTGGTCTCTGACTGATTAAAAATTTGACCAAAGTTGGTACTATTTCTCGACATTTACAGATAATAATGCAACAATAGCATCCCCTTTGAATCCATACATGGCATCGGGGTCTGCCATTAGTCACCCTAGTCAAGCAATGCATCAGGGATGAACTGTATTTGCGCCTTTAAATGTGTCTGCTCTTACGACAAACTCCATGTTGTCCATAATACAATAAATGAATGAGAGTAACCACGAGATGGTTAACATGCTTACTCAAATAATTGGTACGGTGTTCAACCCCCTAATTCAGAAAACCCACCAAAGTTACCATTTATTGGCCAATCAGATGGGTCGAATAGTCGATTTTGTCGGCGCCCTTAAGGCCCAAGCATACCCAATCCCTCAAATTGCGTCATTCAGGACAATTGGGATGCATGACAGTGGAGGTGTTCATATTAATCCAGGGAAAAACAACAAGAGATGCCTCGACCTGTCGGACACCTTGTAGTTATAGGAGGGGAAAAAAGAATAACCCAGGCTAATCTAGGGGTAGTCATGGTGGGTAGAGACCAAGATGCTGAAGATGTAGTGAGGAACGTTTGACAAGATAATATGAGAGGCCAGAATAATCTAGCCCACATAGTCAAAAACATCCTTGCTCAGAATGGCTAAAATGTAGGTAGATAGGCCAAACTTTATGTCGCCCTTAACTGGTTATGTACTCCAGACAGAACTTTCCAAGGGATGGAAAATCCCTAAATTCACCAAGTTCGTAGGGACAGAAGTGAGCCATTTGTCGATCATATTGCTCGATCCAAACTGAGGCGGGCGATATAGCAAACAATGAGAATTTAAAGATGAGATTCTTTCCAAATTATCTAATGAAAACTGCTTTCACATGGTTCACCACACTCTCCCCTCATTCTATAAACAATTATAATCAGTTAGATAGAGTGTTCCATAAGTAATTCTATATGGGGCCTTCAAAAATTAGCCTTAAAGAATTGGCCAGTGTAAGACGCAAGGCGCTTGAGTCGATTAATGATTACGTAAATAGGTTTAGGTTGCTCAAAGCAAGGTGCTTTAACCAAGTGCTTGAGCATGAACTGGTCGAAATGGATGTTTGAGGTCTGGATTATTCTATTAGAGAGAAATTAGACACCCAATACCTGAGAGATAGGCTCAGTTGGCTGACAGAATTCGACAAGTCGAACGCCTAAAGCCTGAGAAAGCCAAAACAAACAAGTTCTATAAAAAAGAGACAGTTTCCTACTTAGAGGCATGTGAGAGAGAATGCAATTATGACGTATGGTATGAGGAGGTCGAAGAAAATTATATAAATGTGGGTGAACTTAAGTTAGAGCCTCCTGAAATTCTGGAACGCATATATAGATCTCAAGAAAGATGTCACAACACCAGGATCAACAACAACTTAATCACACAAGTAAAAATCGCAGGAGAATAAATGACATAAAAATAAAATCCACCATAATTGTTAATCCAGTTCGGTGCAACTCATCTACATATGTGGGCTACCAAGCCAGGAAGGAAATTCATTATGATAGTATTAGTTCAATGCTAAACTCGCCCGTTTACAACTTCTCGCCTAATCCCTACCTTGTGCAACTTCTACCTAGACACCCTCTAGATATGAGATTCCCCTCTCACTTCCTAATCAGTCACAATCCCAGTGATAACCAACATTTTCACAAACAATAAAAGTAGCAAACTTTCAAGACAATACTTGATCTTGCTTAAAAACTTCAATCAAGAACAATACACTCTTACTTAAAAGCTTTAGAGTGGACAATAAACAATCAGTCAAACTAAATGCATCAGAAGATATATGAGTGACATACAATTAACAAACAAAAAACCCTAAAGACCAACCAAAACAACAGCTAATCCTTATTACACAAAATCCTTACGTTATGCTCTATACTCCATAGGGTTTGTCTTCTCTTTAAATAACCTTCAGACTTATTGGACTTGGGCTTCTTGAGACGCACAAATAGCAGCAATCAGTATAAATTGGATGCATACCATCCTGCAAAATAATAGGAGCAAAATACAAACTTTGCTAAAAAGGCTCAAGGATCCTTTTTATGAAAAGTAACATAATCTGTCATAACAGAAAATCCCATAATATACTCCTATAAAAGTCACCCACGTGTGCATCAGAACACACTAAAAAATCACACTAAAAATACCAAAATAGACATGCCCTAGCTATCTGGTATAACATGTCCTGGAATATGTCACAACATCATGCAGAACATGATGTCTGAATGTCATGGCAGAATGTTTGGTTTAACATCTTGCTAACAGCAAGTTTTTTTTTACCAAAATGTAGTCAATCCAAAAAACGCAGGACTTACAATCTCCCCCTCTGGTAAATTTTGGCTAAAACAATCTTAGCACATATCAGAGATACACATAGCGGAAACAAAACAGAAACACAGAAACCCAAGCACAATGTTGGCACACCAATAAACAATACCTGACAGTAAAATATCAAGACATCGGGTCTGACATC